GTTGCTGTAATTCGTCCTCTTAATCGCAGCATTCCGGTTGTGTCGATGTAGGTACTTAGCGCTGTCAGTCTGTCTTGTTTATTCAATGGACTTCCCTTTTTTATTCGCAATATTTCATTCCCGAAACTATCTTCCTGGCAGGCTCGCATCCACATTCTCTCGGCTTCAAGTAGGTACTGCGCTGGCACCGGGATGCTGGGCGTCGTTATTTTCGTTCTTCCATTTCTTGTTATGATTTTTTCATTATTCTTTTTTCTCCAGTCAACATCGCCCTTTTCATTCTGCTTGGTTCGTTTCTTCGTGGCGGCTACAATATTTCTTTGAGGTCGACAGAGATCGACAAATTGTAGCACGCGCGCAGTCGATTTGATGAGCGGCAGCCACCGCGAGAATCGGTCGATGTCAGGTAAGTGTGCGTGAGCCGTACTTGTAACGGTCACATGGCATCTCTCTCGCTCTTCGCCCGTGACTGATATCGCTGTCCTTGTTTCTCGCGGCCACTCGTTTTCTGGCTGATGTAAAAATGATGGCCCGTTGAACCATCTGTGCTGTGGTCCGAATTCGCTTGGTATACCTCGGGTGGCATCATCAGCTACATTTTCATGTGTAGGGACCCATCGCCATTCATTTTTTTTTGTTGTGTCTTCTATTTCAGCCAGGCGGTGAGCCACAAAGGTCTTAAAGGCTCTTGGTTCTGACCTTATCCATGCTAGGACTGTCCGAGAGTCGCTCCAGTATGTTTTACTCGCTATTTCGTAGTCGTGCTCCTCCGCCACGGTATGTGTGAGGCGCGCACCCATTAACGCAGCTTGAAGTTCAAGTCTCGGGATTGAGACGGGCTTGAGCGGTGCGACGCGACTTTTAGCGGCGGCCAAGGTGACATGTGTGGTACCGTCGGCTCTTTGTGACAGCCAGTACACTGCCGCGGCGTACGCCTCTTCACTGGCATCCACGAAGGTATGCAGATGATGGGTGACCACTGGTGTGACATCATAGCATCGTGGTATGCGTATCTTGTGTACAGTTCGCAATGATGTCAACCAAGTACTCCATGCTGGCTGCAGTTCTTCTGGTAGCGATTCGTCCCAGCCTGTTTTATAGCGCCATGTATCTTGCAGTAATCTTTTCGCTGGCGTTGTGATGGGTGATATGAGGCCAAGGGGGTCGAAGAGTGCCATGATGATGCTGAGCGCTTCTCTTTTCGTTGGTATCCGTTTGTTTTCTAATATATCTTGCGGCGTTTTTATTTTGTTAACTTGAAATCCAATTATGTCTTCATTTATATCCCATAACAAGCCGAGAGCTCGCTCAGTACCGCTCCCGCCAATCAGAACCGCTGTACTATTTGTCCCGCTCTCTGAAGTGTTGTCTCGCTCGCTTGCTATAAACTCGTCGATAGTATTGCGATTGTTTGATGCCCATCCGCTGAGTACGAAGCCGGTTTGTTTATGTATATAATCGACTTCTCTTGTTATTTTTCTGGCTTCTGAGATTGATGAGAAGCTTTGTAGATAGTCGTCCATATAATGATTTCTTCGTATAGCAATTGCGGCGTCGGGATATATATGCGCGTAGTCTTCTGCGTTGCGGTTTTTTATATACAGAGCGGTGCAGGGTGATGACGTCGCTCCGAATATTAATGACGTCATGCGGTACTCGTCTGGGTCGCCCTCCCGCCGGTCACCTCTCCACAGGAAACGGAGCGCGTCGCGGTCTTCTTTCTTAATTTTTACTTGCATAAACATCTCTTTGATATCTGCAGAGACTCCGTAGGCGTACTGTCTGAACCTCATCACCACCCCAGGCAGTGATTGCAACAGGTCAGGTCCAGAAAGCAGCAGGTCGTTTAGGCTGAGACCTGCAGTCTTAGCGGAGGCGTCATGCACCAGTCGCGGCGGCTTGTGTGGCTTCGCTGGGTTCGCAACCGGGAAGTGTGGCAGGTACCATGTTCTGTCTTCAGCTGGCGGTGTCTTGGCGTGCTCTGCATACCCCGACGTGAGTAGGTTATTGATTCGTTCGTTGTATTTAATTTTCAGGTCTTCATCTCTGTCTAATCTCTTTTCGAGGTTATGCAGACGTTTTCTTGCTTCGGTGTAATTGTTCGGTATTTTCATGCTGTCTTCTCGCCAGAGTAGCCCAGTTTCATATCTTCCATTCGGAAGACGGCGACTTTCTCGTTCTAGTATTTTCAAAGCTCGCTGCTCTGGATCATTTTTTGGTTTTCTGGGTTCGATGCATAGTGACTCCAGCTTGAAGTAATTTTTCATCATTTCTTCTATGTTGACGTCATCTTTCTTCTCCACCAGGTGCCCGCAGAAAGTCACCGGGTTGCTGAGAGACGTCTTGCAACCATGCAGAACCCAACCTAGTAGCGTGTAGGATGCTACCGGTTGGTCACGACGTCCCGCCCGTACTTCTCTTGACACGATGAGATCCCAGTTATCTTGTCCTATTAATAACTTGGGGGAGGCACGGTGGTAGACGAGTTCTTCTTGTATTTCTTTCAGGTGACCACACTCCTTTATGTCGCTGTCGACGACCGACTGGGTAGTGATATCCAGTCGATCCACTGTGCGGACTTGATCTAGCTTGAAGATGGTTGAAGAGTGTTTGCCCTTGATTTTCACGCTGGTTGTCTTGCTGTGTTCATGCTTGACCATGGCGCCGACGCCCTGTATCCACATCGTGTTTGCCGGACCATCAATACCCAGGATGTCAGCCACCGATGTATCGATGAGTGTCACTGTGCTGCCTTCGTCGAGAAGAGCGTATGTTTCTATCTTGCTCTTCGGCCCTTGCAATATGACAGGTACTATTTTCAGATAGGCGCGACGTCGGAGACATTCTTCATTGCCTTCCATCGTAGAAGTTACCACCCCATGCTCTTCTGGTGGTTGTTGAAGCTGGTCCTCTTCTTTTCTGTCATGATGCAACAAGTGATGGTGTTTCATGTGGCATCCAGATTTGCCACACCATGGAGCTCTGCAGACGGCGCGTCGATGTTTACTTCTCAGGCACTTGTAGCATATGTTATTCTTCTTTGCAGTTTCCCATCTTGAATTAACGTCGATGTTATTGAATTGCTCGCAGTCAGGCAGCTGATGGTTGCGTTTGCACAGCGGACATACATTTTCATTGTTTTGCTTCATATTAGTAGCAAATGAATGTTCGATCTTCCGTCTCGCTCTCTCCCTTGTTGCCGTCTCGCTCTCAACGAGACGTTCCGGCGCGGCGTACGCTGCACATTTGTCTGCCTCTTCGTTTAGGAAGACAGACATTTTCTTCAATTCCGGGATGTCTTCCTTTTTCAGCGCGTAGTCGTACCATTTATTTTTTATTATAGGTGTGAGCTTCTCTATGATGAGACGTGTCATTTCTGGGCTGTGTAGATATTGTGTTTTCTTCAGTGCTTCAATCGTAGCGACTGTGTTCGCTATTTTGCCGGCGAACACGCAGAGATCCCGTGGGTTATCGGTGATCTTGCTCAGTGACTTGATTCTATCCATCTCGATGAGTATGAGTGCTTCTGGTCTTCCGAATCTTCTTTCCAGTGCTTCTATGATGACATTTGGTTCATGTTGACTCAGGAGTAGGCTGCTCACGGCGTCTAGTGCTGGTCCCTTTATACATTTTCGCAGGCGTGCTACGTTTTCTATCTTCGAGAAGTATTGCTGTGTATCTTCGTAGCTTGCCTTGAATGATAACCATTCATAAGAGAGGCCCCTGAACATAGGCAACTCTTGTATATATGCAGGCGGCTCCCTTGGTCGTCTTCTTGATGCTTGCAGTAGTGCTGTCGTTAATGTCGAAACGTCGATGGTTTGCTGCGGTTGCTTGAATTTCCTCTCCGCGGCTGCCTCATCTTGTTTCTCCTCCCGTGGCATAGGAACTTCTTTTTCGCGTGGCTGTTGATCAAACCACGCATCCACCCACGTGGAGTCTTCATTTTCTTCTTCAGAATATTCTTCCTCGGAGTCTTTTTCTGCCCGTAAACGTTGTAATCGCGCTATCTCCATATCTGCCTCTGCTTGCAGCTGTTTGATTTTTAACTTGGCCAGTCGTTCTTTAATCTCCAATTCTTCCAGTTTTTTCCTTGAGACCGTGGAACGGTGTGACCTCGCCTTCACTGTTTTCTGGGAGGTGTCTTCTCTATTCGGTGAGTCCTCCACTTGACTTGACTGCATAGAGGATTCGGCGCTTATTTCGTTTTCGGTGGATTCATGCGAGTTTTTCGTTTTAGTGCCTTCTTCATTCATGCTTCGCGTCACGACCATCTTGATTTTCTTCCTGGTGCAGGGATCCGGCTTCTCGAAGGACCACAATGATGTTGACAGGACTATATACTAGGATCCCCTGGTCGTATGGTCGGGCGGCGAAATAAAAATGCTCGGTTGTTATCTTGTACTTGGTAGGAAGGCACCTATCGGGTCGCTGTCTCGCCGGTGAATGCGGACCGCTGCGCGGCCGCGCTCTTTATATAGACGCCCGACGGGTGGCCTTCCCTACTGCAACTGTACGTTGCGTGATTTATTTTTATTAACAAAAATGATCTTACAAATTTTGCTTATACTAATTATATCTAATTGATTCCGTCGTGTACACGCTGTATTTATTTATAAATACACAAATATATTTTTTCATTTTCCTTAATTATGACTCAATTTTCATGAATAACCTGACTTAATTTATCCGTATTATGAAACAGTGTGACTTGTGCAATAAACAAACAAATAAGCTATTGCGCTGTATGAAAATTGAGTCATGCTTAAGGAAAATGAAAAAGTATACTTGTGTATTTATAAATAAATAAGCGCAATAGCTTATTTGTTTGTTTATTGCACAAGTCACACTGTTTCATAATACGGATAAATTAAGTCAGGTTATTCATGAAAATTGAGTGAAGAGTCAAGTTACTATAGTAAAAATACGCTTTGGTGCTGATTAAAGATTTTTTTTTATTTTTCAGCTACATATTATGCACCTGGGCTTGCTGAGGAGTACTACGATGGTGATTATTACTATAAAGGCCACCAAACGCAGTATGGACCTGATGAAATGAAACGTATTATTCAGTCAGGTGGTAAAATTCCAGATTTCGAACAAGACATATCAGATGAAGCTGCAGACATTTTAAATTTAGAGGACAATGAACCACAGCTCAATTCAGGATCGGAAGAATCTTTAAAAGAACCTGAATACGACGACGACTATCAGATAGAAGATAATAGATTAGAAGTTAAAGACCCGTCAAATGAGGAACCAAACCTGAATATAGATAACAAACTCTTGGAAGATTTACTTAAAACCAATGAAAATGTCGACGAAGCACAACAGGATTACGATGTTTTTCAACAAATACTTGGAGACAATGATAATGATATTGAAGAAAAGTTACTATATGTTGATGAGTCATCAACAGAAAACAAAAACGATGATAATGATAACTTGGCACAATCTGATTTATTAGATGAACATAATGATCAACAAGATAATTCTAATGAACGTAACAGTAATTCTGAGGAAATCTCCATTGCTGAAAATGAAAACAATGATGAAATTTCAAACGTGGCTGATGAGAATCCTACAAATAATTTCAGTAACGAAAATAATTCACAGAATTTTAATTCTCTGTCAAGTATAGACGAAGTCGTAGATAATAGCCTGGAAATGTTACAAAAATTTGATAACCAGAGTGATAGTAGTAAAACAGGTAGTAATAAAATCTTAAACAAAAAAGGCATTAATAAACCAGATGATCCTTCAATATCAGAAGATGATAGCAATGGTCAAACTCTAGTAGATTCTATTGAGAATAATAACAATGAATTTCATGACATAAACATTTCATCATTTGTAGATTCTCAATCCAACTTAAATGATATTATAGACGAAACTCGTCGAAAATTATTGAAGGAATCTGGTGAACAGTTTGAAAATCAAGATATAAATGACGATAGAAATATTAAAGAACAACTCAAAAATAAATCTGAAAACGTCTTAATACCTGAAGAAAATAAGTCAAGTAGTTTTGAAGAAAATCTTTTCCAAATTATTAATTCTCAAGTAAATGTAGATGACGTAGTAAATGAAAATAAAATATTAGAAAAATCTGATAAACGTGAAAATAATGAATTAATCAATGAAAAAGATGCTCTAGAACAACTTAAAAGTAATTCTGAAGTAACTTCAATTCCTGAAGAAAAAAATAATGCAGTAATTTCAAAACTATCTGATGAAGATTATTTAAATGGTTTAACCGAGGAAAAACTGTTAGAAATTGTTAATTCTCAACTAAATGTAGCCGAAATTGTAAGCCAAACTCACTCAATGTGGGAAGATGTTAACAATGAACAAATATTAAAAGAGACTGCTGAGAATAATTTTAGTGACATAAACATGCCATTATTTTTACCACCTCAATCGAACTTAGACGACATTATAGACGAAACTCATAAAATATTGGAGGATTCTGATAACCGGTATGAAAATCATGAACCCATTAGTGATAGTGAAAAATTAGAACAGTCTAATAATGAAGAAATTTCAAAATTGGTCGATGAGAACGTGAATGCGGAAAGTATCAATGGGATTCCTGAAAGTATGAAGCAATCTGGTATGAAAGATATCATAAATGAAACAAATAAACCTTCGGTAGACACTGGAGATAATATAAATAATATTGATAGTCAGGAACGACATATTCAAGAAATAGACGATAATTTTAATTTTAAAGACGGCGACGCATTGAATGTGAATCCTAAACAGGCATATTCTGAAGAAGACAAATTTGATGAGGAGTATATTTCTGATTATTGGAACAAAATTGGTTATAAAGAAAATATTCTACAAGATTTTGAGACCATACTATCTAGCAACGAAAATGTTTTGGATTATGAAGAAAAATATGGCAAGCCATTCGGAGAGGGGAAAGTTTTATCTCAAAGAGATTATTATTATGACTATATTAATGAAGACAAAGCCGATGATCCAAAGGATTTCGACAATGATAAGGCAATTGAAGAAATACTTAATAGGGATGTCATTGATGATTTAACAAATGTGTTAGATGAACCAGAATTAAAAATGGCATATGTTAATGATGCATTGCCTGCAGTAGACAAGGCAGACGTGGAAGAATCGAAATCAACCGAAAAAGAAATTCAAATAGAAGACAAAGAGCCCACGAAAACTATGAACGTAGAAAAACTATCAAGCTCTGAACTCGATGAACTAACGAATCAATTCAAAATACTACACAGTGAAGATTTTAACATGAAATCTGATAGGATTGAAAATGGAGCACCTATTCATATAAAACTGAGTTTGGATGAGCCTACAGAAGTCACTTCACCAAATTACCCTGAGCCTTACCCAACAAACAATGTCGTAGAATGGTTATTCGATGGAGAAGGTGTTGGCATTGAATTGAATATTACTGATTTCAATTTGACCAGCGTGTTAGGACATTACATGATCGTGAAGCCAGGTAATTACACGTTTTTAATATACATCATTAGATATAGATATAAGACTAGCTGTAGCTGTGAATTTAACTTTATTTTTCTAAAGTAAAACACCTTACGTCAACTACTTGTAAAAAAAAGTCCCGTCAAAATCGCTCCAGCCATTTCAGAGATTAGCCGGAACAAACAGACGGACAGACAGACAAAAATAGTTAAAAATGTTATTTTGGTATTATAGTACCGTATTTATATTCATATGCATGTATTAAAAAACGATTATTTCAATATTACAAACTGACACTCCAATTATATTTATATGTATAGATGTATAGATAATAGATTTACCAAAATTACAGAAAAGCTTACGCCAAATAATATATATATTTTTTTTGTAATATTTTTTGGTTGTAGGTTGAGACTAGGCAGTCAAATTATAGTATAGGAGAGGGAATGCACGACTCGTATTACCGGTGTCATATTATTAGGCGAAGTCCTATTTATTAGAATTTATTTTTTTATTTTATATTTTATTCGGATTTTTTTTTAAATATAAAGAAATATGGAACACAAGTATTTTCTTTCTTTTTTTTTTCTTTTTCGTTTCTTTCCCGGGAAAATAAAAAACAATTAACATTCATTCTTTATTTTTTATATATGTTTCTGAGGAGCAAGTCAGTTTTAACATATTTTTAATGGTTTTAACATATTTATAAAAATCAATACAATTATAATCGTAATTAAAAACGGTCCTCAACTCGCTATTTATTAAATTAGGAGTACGAACGTTGCGCGCGTGAATATTTTTATCTAGCGTAGATCGATCGATTTAATAATAAAAAACCGAGCACCGTTCAAATACGGGACAGAGTTTTTGAAGTGGTAGAGCAAGCTGTACGACCACACGTGGTTGTTCAGCTCGATTGGGCCGCTCGAACCGGGAAATACCACACCTCGGCAGAAAACCGGCGTTAAGCGTTATCGCGTTTCGCATGGTGAGCTGTGGGTTCCGGACGCCCCTCCCCCTCCCCCTATCCCTTTCCTACTTCCTTCCCCTACCCACCCCTTTCTTACATACCATGGCAGCGGATTATAAGAGATTTTTACCCCAGGGTGGTACCAGTAACCAAGTTACTGGAGAATCCACCCCTGAGATATCACACTCAGGCTGCCCTGCGTATTCTGGGGTGGGCAATACTCCGCTTTTTGGCCAAAAGGAAACCGAGCAAATCTCCATCGGCGTTTCCCTTGCTCATAGTCAGTTTTTGCAACATCAGGGGAATTCATTCCAATCTCAACGCCGTTCACCACCACCTAGAGACGGCGAGGCCCGCTTTGCTCTTCCTTACGGAGACGCAAATATCCTGTCCCGACGAAATTTCGTACCTGACCTACCCTGGATATAAATTGGAACACCATTTTATTCCACGGGCCGGTGTGTGCGCTTATGTCAGAGAGGATATTTGTTGTCGCCGTCTTGGTACACTTGAAGGTACTGACCTGTCCATTTTATGGTTGCGTGTAGATTGCGATGACCACCCCCGCATCTATGCATGCTTATACAGGTCCCATAGCGGTAACACCGAAACTGACCGACTCATTGAACACGTCCAAATGGCTACAGATTTTTTGCTCCAACAGATTCCCTCCACTGAGGTGGTGATTCTAGGTGACTTCAACGCCCATCACGCCGAATGGCTCGGTTCACGTACCACCGACTATGCGGGGTGATCTGTTTATGGCCTTGCTTTGGCATATGTTTTGATGCAACTGGTATCACCATGGTTGGTTGACTGGTTGTTGACCATATACCTTCACTGTTGGACCTTCTGCTGACTTCTCATCCGACGGATATCAGATCTCAGTGGAAGCCTCACTGGGATCCTCTGATCATTGTCTGATACGGAGCAAAGTGCCTCTCACGCGTCCTTCTTTGCCGCGATCTATTGGTCGACGTCGTGTTTGGCATTTTAAGTCGGCAGATTGGGATGAGATGCGAAGTTTTTTAGCATCTTACCCATGGGGGCGAGTTTGCTTCGCACTGGACGATCCTGATGCAATAGCTGAATCTGTCACCGATGTAGTACTTCAGGGAATGGAGATGTTTATTCCTAATTCCCTGGTGCCTGTCGGTGGTAGATCTCAGTCCTGGTATGGCGGATCCTGTAGATCGGCGTCGCGCCATAAGCAGGAATGCTTCCGTGCCTGGATTGCAGCTGTGAAGTCGAGTGATCCAGATACCAGTGCCCATAAAAGGATGTATAACTCCGCTTCCAGGTCCTTCAAAAGAGTTATAGCCACAGCAAAGTCGGAGCACATCAGCAGAATTGGTAGGAGACTGAAGAGTCTTCCATCTGGATCCCGGGCTTTTTGGTCTCTTGCCAAAGCTGCTTAGGGAAATTTCTGTCAGCCATCTTTTCCACCACTGCGCAGAGAGGATAACTCGTTGGCCCAACATGCTAAAGAGAAGGCCGATCTCCTTGGGTCTCTTTTTGCATCCAACTCGACACTGGACGATAGGGAGCAATCACCGCCGGTCATCTCGCGGTGTGAGACTTCTATGCCAGAGGTAAAATTTACCCAAAAGCTGGTACGTAAGTCTCTTTTCTCCCTAGATATCCACAAGTCGAGTGGGCCTGACGGTATTCCTGCTATTGTGCTCAGGACGTGTGCACCTGAGTTGGCTCCGGTACTAACGCGTCTTTTCCGGTACTGCTACTCTACAGGTGTAGTCCCGAAACTTTGGACGATAGCTTTGGTTCATCCGATCCCTAAGAAGGGAGATCGCTCAGATCCAGCTAACTATAGGCCCAAGAAGACACAAGTTTGAGCGTTTACCGCTAAAAAGATTCCATTTATCGTATCTCCTCAGTTTCAAGACACTCTCCTTGATGTGAAGCCAAATCTCGAGGTCCTTGGCGTTGATATATCCAGTGACGTTCAGTTTTGCGGTCATCTGGAGGACAAGCCTAAAATAGCCTCAAAAAAGCTTGGTGTGCTCAGTAGAGTGAGACGGTATTTGACGGCGGCCCATCGCTTGCAATTATATAAGGCGCAGATCCGGCCACATATGGAATACTGTTCTCATCTCTGGGCGGGAGCTCCACAATACCAGCTACTTCCATTTGACCGCATTCAGAACCGAGCAGCCAGAATCATTGGTAATCAACGTCTATGTGACAGACTCGACCCATTGGCTTTGAGGCGAGATATTGCATCTCTGTGCATTTTCTACCGCATATATCACAGGGAGTGTTCTGAGGAATTGTTCGGATTAATACCAGCTGCTGAGTTTCAACACCGTACCACCCGCCAGAAACTGAAATATCATCCTGATCATCTGGATGAATGGCGGTCTTCCACAGTACGGTTTTCTAGAAACTTTTTTCCCCGCACAACCACATTGTGGAATCACCTTCCAGCAATGGTATTTCCGAACCGATACGATATTGAAACCTACAAGAAAAGAGCTTATTCCTTTTTAAAAGGCCGACAACGTACTTGCAATTCCCCTGGTGTTGCGGGTGCTCATGGGCGGCGGTAATCACTTACCATCAGGTGAGCCACATGCTCGTTTGTCCCCTGTGTTATAAAAAAAGAATAGAATAGAATAGAATAGAAAATCATTTATTCAAATAAACTTAATTTAAGCACTTTTGAATAGTCATAACAATTTGTTTTTTATCTACCACTCGTTCGGAAAGCTGTCTCATCACAAGAAGAACGAGCAAGAAACTTGTGTGTTGCTCTTTTAAATAATCCTTGTAAGTTTACATTTACAAGTCGAAACGTGTGAATACAAACTACCAACAAGCACTAATTTTTTGGGTCAAATATAATCATGCAATAAGATTAAATCAGTCGTAGTGATAAGAGCAGACCAGTCCCTACAAGCAGCACTCGTTCACGAGTATGACGGATGAGCCAGCCATCACTGCGCTCGACCATATTTTAGGGAGCCCATTGACCCGGCCCACCACGCCGTCACATGTCTGGACGTTTTAGTGAGCATGACTACTCATTCCACACGACCACGTCACAGCTACAAAAATTACTATATGGTAGTTACAGTATTCGCACTTTACATAAGGATGCATGCGGCAATCAATACAAAAGCCGCTACGCTATCATATATCAAGAAAGCAGTATGAAAATTAAAATTATAACGTTGTCCGCAAATAAACTTATTCTTGCTATATATTGCTATCATCTATAAATTCATCTATCTTATAATAGGCTTTTTTACATAACATTTGTTTAATATAAGATTTGAATTGCCTCTCTGTAAGATTTAGCGTAGACTCTGGCAGTTTATTATAGAATCTTACGCAATTACCATAAAATGAATTACTAACTTTGTGTAGACGGTATTTAGGTAAAATTAGCTTATTTTTATTGCGTAAGTTTCTACTTGTACAGTCTTTAAGTTTCTTGAAACTATCTAAGTTTTTCCTTGTATACATAATAATTTAAAAAAAAAAAGTTACAGTCCCGCCGGGATATTTTAAACTAAGCCTATAATACGGGACGTCCCAGGAAATACGGGACGTCTGGCAACGCTAGTTACCTGTCAAATGCTGTATGTCGGCCATGTTGGCAACCTTGTAAATAAATATTATAGATGTTTTTTTTGTAATTGTTTTACATGTGCATGTGCGTCTATATGTACGTGTTTTTCTTTCTCTTCTTTCATTCTATTTTTCGGACTACTCTACTGCTGTTGGCCGCAGCTGGCCTTTATAGCTTCACCAGATGATAGGGCGATTCAATAAATATAGTATTCTTTATAATTTTTATTTTTATTCAGGTAGTAGCGATGGTACTGGAGATGATGGTTTAATATTTGCTTATCATCTAAATAAAGAGCGACGGTACCGGTTTATGGATGTGGACAAACTGTATATCAAGTTCGAATCCTTATTTGGGAATAACACCCGGCGAGGCTTCCGGTTAAGCTTGAAAATGATAGGTGAGTAGTAAATTGACTATCTCACCCTAAAATATATATAAGCAAAGCAGTGTGCTAAACAGCTAGACCACAGAGGTCGTGAAATTGAAGTATACACGTAACAATTTCTTTTATACATTTTCAATATGTACAACAAGGAATTTATAGATCTTGATTTATTTAATAGATGAACATTCAAACTTAATATTATAAAATTGCTTATATTTTTTTATAATTTACTAGCGACCCGCCCCGGCTTCACACGAGTGCAATGCTGATATTAAATATACCTACCTACTACAGAATGTCCTTATAAACAACGTTTACAGCTTTTTTGTAATTAGACAGTACAAACATGTTTTGATTAGAGGTTACTCTTGAAAGAGTGACATACAATTGAGCTAGATCCCTGCCATTTAAATCTGTACTAAAATAGGAAACTTTCAGTTAAATTACATGCTGTAAACTTTTTATATTTACGACATCACTCTCCTCTCTAAATTTATCAGTGTTTCTATAAAATATTCTGCATGTAATACATATAAAACTTCCTCTTGAATCAGTCTATCAATTAAAAAAACCGCTTCAAAATCCATTGCGTAGAATACATAGGTACAGACAGCGATAAAATAAAATATGGTATTTAAATATAAATAATTACGATAGAATGCTTGAAACTTTACTGAATTTCAGGCTAATGTTATTTAATGAAAAATATTTTAACGATTTTTACTTCAGCTCCTCCTGAAGAGGATCCAGATGAACTGCCGAACCCCGAGCCGCTGCTGCCCACACCTAATTCCACAATGTCATTATACCTGGCCGGTCGGAACCTCACTGGTTTTGAATATATCAGGGAAGAATTCAGATTACTTCTAGCTGATATGGCGACCCATTATATAGTCGACAACGATATTGATCGAGGTCTCAACTCAACGTAAGTAAATAAATAAATTTTGACGACCTCGGTGGTCTAGCGGTTTAGCACACCGCCTTACTACCGATGGTCGCGGGTTCGATTCCTCGCACGGCACAAACATTTGTATTCTTGAGTATGATTGTTTGTATCGGTCTGGGTGTTTTCTATGTACAATATGTATGTATTTATAAAAAAAAATATCTATGTATTTGTATCAGTTGTCTAGTACCCATAACACAAGCTCTAGCTAGCTTAACTTGGGTCTAGATGGTTCTGTGTGAATTGTCCTGAGATTATTCCTCTTGAATCACTCCAATTTTTTTTTTATTTTCGACGGTCTCCCGTCTAGCAGTTTAGCACACTGCCTTATGTAAAAATATATCTATTTATTTGCATCAGTTATCTAGTACACATAACACAAGCTTTAGCTAGCTTAACTTGGGACTAAATGGCGCTGTGTGAATTGTCCTGAGGTTATTATTATTATTTTATTTACTTTTAACCAGGTTACAGTATTTTTTATGGATGATAGTGGAATGCACCCGCCTGCGCTAACGGTTTACCCTGGCGGGGCACTGGTGGAGGATGATAAGATGAACATAAGGTTAGGTTACTTAGCCCATCGTGACAAATTCACCAGGAATCCAAATTCAAATTCAAAATATCTTTATTCATGTAGGTCTATTACAGACTCTTATAATATGTCAAATCTACCGTCAGTTCGGAATGATTTCGAGATGAGAACTGACAAATTCAACTCGTATTCTTTTCAGATAAATGTTTTGTGAATTTATTACGATGGTTTCCGCGTGGAGGTCAACCTGACATGGTACATTATTTATAAATCGGTTTTAGAATTTATAAATTAATCTATAATAGCCTACTAGGAGGTCAATTTCGAAATTACAAGACCCTATTTCAGGACCTCTATTATAGAAAACTAATTAAAAATAATCCATTTGAATTGTATAAACATCTAATTGTACATATTGCAATATAATAATATAGAAACTTAAAAAAATACTCTATAGCTAGTTCTAACGTGAACATAGCCCCAAGTGAAAACTAATCATTAAAAATGCACTTGTCCGTTCGTACACAAACACAGGTGTCCCCTTTTAACCTGAAATAATGTCACTATGACCTAGAACGTGGTTTAATAACCTCCCAAAACAATAACTGCCATATACAAAGAAAATCAATGAAGTTAATACTAATGTACTGAACCTGTTCATCAAAAGACATAAATTATCATTAAAATACTGCAGTGTTAATGAAAGGAACATAATTTTTAAAGTTCCTCGCCTTGTTGATGAGTCAGCGCGCATGCGTAAACTGGAAGTTCACGCAGGCGCGTTGCGAACGTCAAATCTATTTCAGTAAAACCAAACTCACGCGTGAAACGAGTCAAACCCAACGCAAAATACACAATTAATTCACGAAACGATTCTAAAACACATATAACATAAGCACAGTGATATATAAAAGTATAATAGAAAAAATGAGTAAACCAAAGTTCAGTGCAACATAGCCAAGTGTGTGAAGATGCGGCAATGCGCCAGACGCGAATCAATGCATACAGTATTTCCTGATGCCAAACTCACGGACTTTTAGTGTCAAATCTACAAAACCATGGAGCCTCTTATAGATAGGAACAATTTCGCTGTAAGCGCAATCGTGACGGTGGCTATGCAAATATTGTTCTTCACCATCGCATCGCTTTTCCAAAGTGACAAAGTCACCGATTTCACTGGCGGCGCTAATTTCATAATTATAGCGCTGCTGACTTTCTTCCTTGGTCAAGGCGCCAGCACGCTAAAGAATTATGACAGTCGACAGCTAATGATCACCGCTTTTGTCTGTGTTTGGGGCGCCAGGTTATCTGGTTACCTCATATACAGAATCTACCATATCGGTAGAGACAAACAATTTGAAGACAGAAAGAGTAACACGTTAAGATTCGCTGTCTTTTATACATTCCAGGCTGTGTGGGTATATATCGTAAGTTTACCTGTAATTATATTGAATTCTCCTCACCATTCGTTCCCAAAATCGCCAAAAACTATGACGACCTTAGATTCGGCGGGAGCAGGAATATTCGTAATAGGCCTACTTATAGAAACGTACGCAGACTTACAAAAGTTTGCATTCAGACAAGAACCTTCGAATCAAGGGAGATGGTGCAACGACGGATTATGGGGCCTGTCGAGACATCCCAATTATTTTGGTGAAGTGGTGCTGTGGTGGGGCATATTTATCATATCATTGAATGTAATCGAAGGAGTCGAATGGATAGCTATAATGTCGCCTTTATTCACAACTGCTATCATATTATTCTTATCGGGTATTCCGTTGCTTGAACGATCAGCGGACGAAAAATATAGAGATAATCCAGATTATCTATATTATAAAGCATCCACGTCACCATTAATACCAATACCGCCTGCAATTTATGTGGAGGTGCCAAAATTTCTTAAATGCATGTTGTGCTGTGAATTTCCCATATATGACTCTACTGCTGATGACTTCCCTGCTCCTACAATCGTCACTGAGACGACCAGCATATCAATGGTCCAGTCTCAGACATAGCTAACGAACGCCGCGCGCGACAACGGCGCGGCCAAGACTGAAACGACGATCAGCAAATGCCAAACATCCCAGAAACAATTGTGATACACAGCTGAGGAAAGACCTCAAAAGAAATTGCCAAATTCCTTACCATTAAAACAAAGTAACACTGTAGATATGAACAATTATAATACTTATATGGAAAATGTAAAACGTAGTAAGAAAGTCGCATTAGAATTATTAGAGGATACGAGAGATATAATAGAAGGATATAATGTAGAAAGCCCGACTAACAATCCTAATAAGTTTAAAAATAGTGAAGTAGATATCGAAGCAGGTCCTAGTACAAGTAAATCGAACAGACCGACTGAGTATGTTAAATATGGAAAAATAACGTTTAACACAACAGCGATATTGCACCATTATCCCCAAATGGCGCAAAACAAAGGATGCGCGGAAAACTGCCCACCACATCAATCACTGTCAGATGCCACTAAAAAATCCGAGTTAAATCTTGCAGCGGATGAAGTACGTGTTGACAATAATAACGACGTCAAATCTGAAAATAAACAATCTGAGACCAAGAGGAGAGATAACTGCAATAACAATGAAACATCGGGTAAAGTGAACTGCGTTATTAAGTCTGACAACACGATTGAGGTTCTGAAGAAGCCAGTCAAGTTTACAGAAGAAAAACTTGTATGAGGTTTGGAGATACGGTTCTTTTCACTGCATTTTCGCATATGCAGGCTCTGGCATGAAATGCGAAGAGCAGCGAGAGTGAAATCAAACATATCCCAAATAGAAATGTTGTAAATATTAAAAGACTGCTGAAGATGTTATATTTAAAAATAATTGATGTATAATGAATGTGGAATATTGAAGATTTTAAAGTGATTATTCGAGCTAAAATCGTTTATATATTGTAAGAGATAAAGGCTAGGTTGCCGATTGAGTGAACATTTTAAATAATACTATTTTATCCGATTAGAAAAATAGTCTCAAATCCGTCTCAATAGATTAAATTAGTGTGTAATAAGAACTAGATATGTATTTAATAATTTAGAAGAAATTCACTCCTAATATATAGCACAGGTGAGTGTTGTTTAATCTATAGTAAATTTAAGACATTTTTTACACAAGTTTCAGTAGTTATTACTTAAATAGAGCCCATATTACTGTGGTATGATGTAGCATCTATATATAAAAGTTTTTTTTTTAAGTCAGTACTATATTTCTGTTTATATTCGTTACAAATATCTTTCTGTTTTGTAATATTAGTAACTAGCTACTCGCCCCGGTTTTGTCCGGATGTACATGTATTAAACCTTCCTCTAGAATCACTCTATCCATATATAAAAAAGCGCTTCAAAATCCGTTGCGTAGTTTAAGATTTAAACATTCATAGGGACAGACAGACAGCGACAGCGAATTTGTTTTATACTATGTAATGATATTCGTTAATTATTATTTCAATAATTCAAAACTAATGAAATTGCACATATTTTCTAATATCATTCGGAAAATACTCATTTAAAAACAAATATACTATAATATAATATACTATACAGTAAAAACAAACAAGTACTAACAACTACTTATGTACTATTAGTAGAAAAAACTAATCTAATAAAAAAAGTCAATTTATTAAACAAATTCAATTTATGTTATTATCTGATATATGAAGAGGATGGGTTTGTTTGTTTGATTTAAATCTTCGAAGCTAATCTTTTAAAACACCTTTCAGTAGTTGAAAGTATATTTTTCAAGGAAACTTTTCGACTAATAAACATTACCAAAAAACGTTTAAGGGCCGAGTAAAAAGAAAAAAAACGAAAAGTATGGTAGAGTCATTTTTTCTTAATTTAAGACTGCATTCAGTAGTTAAAAGTACAGTTTTTAAGGAAAATTTTCGTCTATTAAATATCACCAAGAAACATTTAGAAGCAGAAAAAAAAATGTACAGTATGGTAGAGTCATTTAATATTGCATTCAGTAGTTAATTTTTAAGGAAAATTTTCGTCTATTAATCATTTAGGTGCAGAAAAACGAAAAAAAAGTAAGATATGGTAGAGTCCTATTTTTTCTTAATTTAAGACTTCTGCATGTAGTTGAAATCTATTTTTAAGGAAAATTTTCATCTATAAACATTACCAAGAAACATATAGGAGCAGAAAAAAGAATTTCTTTTTCTATTTCTTTACCCCTTTTCATACAAAATGTGCTATTATAAAAAATTAAACATACATAAAAAAATTAACAAAAACAAACAAATTGACCATAGTCGGTAAGCATTTATTGAGACTGATTTTCAGGCGAGAATAGATTAGCTATCGGTTATCATTTTGTAATGGAGTAGGGACTGGACTAGACTAGGGGGTCCCAATCCATGGAGGCCCTGGGCACATGCCCAAAGTACCCAGTGAGAAAGAGGGACCTGAAAATGAGCAAGAAGTTTGCGTGTTGCTCTTTTTAAATAAATTAATACTGAAGAATAACTTAAAATTTTCTTGCGTGGACATTTTTTTTTAATTTTTATTTTTTTTGACAATTCACACTGCGCCATCTAGACCCAAGTTAAGCTAGCTAAAGCTTGTGTTATGAGTACTTGATAACTGATACATATACATAGATATATATTTTTTGTAAATACATACATAATATACATAGAATACACCCAGACCGATACAAACAATCATACTCATGAATACAAATGTTTGTGCCGTGCGAGGAATCGAACCCGCGACCATCAGTCGTAAAGCGGTGTGCTAAACCGTTAGACCAGCGAGGTCGTCAAATTTCATTTCACTTCAATTCACATTAATTCTCTTTACAGCATCGTTGAATAAATAAACAATGTCTATATAATAATTTCATTATGTTTAATTAATACTATACTTATATAATTAATATTTTTACTGTGGGAATAATAAAATATGATAGATCCTAATATTTATATACTACCTAATCGTATACTGTACCAAACATATTCTAAATTCCCAATTTACATTCAGCCCAAGTGGGCAGGGAAGTGAGCAGCTCGAGAGTGTAAACACGAGTGGAAACACTTCCGATGCCATTGGCGCTGCCACTCGCGCTGCCCGGCGCTCCCTCGATTGCCGGTATTTCGTGCGCGAGTCAAAGGACTGGCAGCGCAAGTGGCAGCGTGTTTTTACATTCAGCCCTCTCGCTCAGTTGTCGCCCGGCAATATTTCCGGCAGCGCGAGTGGCAGGGGAAGCGGCTGAATGTAAACGTAGCAAATAAATAACAATCTTCTTCTAGGAACATAAAAATAAAAACCTTAAAAAGTATAATATAATAACTAAAATATATTATTAAAAAAAGTTCCTTTAGGTGTAAGGTTCCGAAGATACTGGCAGCGTTCCCCCTTTGAATGGATAGACTAATTCTTTGTCCGAGGTAGCTGCCAGCTCTTCGGTCTTCTGTGATATCAACTATAATTTATCAACTCCACAAATAAAATGTTTGGAAGCCTGTAATCTTATCTGAGATATAAAAACTGCGCGGACGGTATCACGTCCGAATGTTACGGGCTTTGATCTGGTTTAATAGGCGATAAATTTAACGATACGTGTAATATATTAATTAAAGATAACGTTACACTATCAACTACATTTATTGCGTTTTTAATTCAGAAATGGCGTTTCTTTGTTTGCTAGACAATAATAAAAATTCTGAATTACATTGTGGCGTATACAAATTATATAATAAGAATATAATAAATAATATTTCATTACAAATATAACGTACAGATAATGAACATGTTAGACATATACGTAACTAGCTACTTGCCCCGGCTTCACCCGAGCGTACATGTATTATACATATAAACCTACCTCTTGAATCACTCTATTTAAAAAAACCGCTTCAAATCCGTTGCGTAGTTTTAAAGATTTAAACATACATAGGGACGGACAGACAGCGACAGCGACTTTGTTTTATACTATGTAATGATATAAAACATGTTTATAGGAGTTCCCGAATAAAGTGTATTATTATTGTAATATTTTATGGGCCATATAGACATACAGTCAGTGGGATGTCGACCGCAAAACCGTAGTAGTTTTGGCATCAACCCAAGTTGCTTTGGAAACGGGAATGTATTTAATAATTTTAAAGATTTCAATGTACACATGCAGTTTTATACCTTGTTGGCTTTGCGGCGAGATATTGCATCTCTGTGCATTTTCTACCGCATCTATCACGGGGAGTGTTCTGAGGAATTGTTCGGAATAATACCAGCTGCTGAGTTTCACCACCGCACCACCCGCCAGAAACTAAAATACCATCCTGATCATCTGTATGAATGGCGGTCATCCACATCCACCACACATTTTCTAGAAACTTTTTGCCACGCACAACCACATTGTAGAATCACCTTCCAGCAATGCTATTTCCGAACCGATACGATATTGAAACCTTCAAGAAAAGAGCTTATTCGAATTTTTTAAAAGGCCAACAACGTACTTGCATTTCCCCTGGTTTTGCTGGTGCTCTTGGGCGGCGGTAAGCATTTACCATCAAGTGAGCCGCATGCTCGTTTATCATAAAAAAAAACATAACTTTAAAAAATTCAAATTCAAATTCAAATATCATTTATTCATGTAGGACATTTTAGCCGCTTATGAACGTAAAATTTTGTACATTATAATTTTAATTTTTTAACGATACTAAAAAAAATTCATAGATGGCGTCGTGATAAATCAATTTCAAATTCATTCAAGCATACGATGATCAAGATCTGATGGTAAATGGTTATCGTAGCCTATGAACGCCTGAAACACCAGGGGTATCACGTGCGCGTTGGTGACCCTTAAGAAACCTTAACATACCCGTCTTAAAAACCCCATGCTGTAGTCTCGTGGGAAACCGAAAAATGTATATATGTAGAAAAAGTATAGAATAGAAAATCATTTAATCAAATAAACACATTGAAGCACTTTTGAATAGTCATCACATTTTTTTAATCTACCGCTTATTCGGAAAGCTGTCTCATCACGAGAAGAACGAGCAAGAAACTTGCGTGTTGCTCTTTTAATACACGCCATATGTATATGTTATATGTAAATCGTACATCCAATAACTAATTGTTATACTCAATTTACACTCAGCCCGAGTGGACCCACTTCCCTGAGCACGGAAGTGAGCAGCGCGAAAGTGTAAACACGAGTGGAAACACTTCCTATGCCATTGGCGCTGCCGCTCGCGCTGCCCGGCGCTCCCTCGATTGTCGGTTTTTCGTGCGCGAGTCAAAGGACTGGTAGCGCGAGTGGCAGCGTGTTTTTACATTCAGCCCTCTCGCTCAGTAGTCGCCCGGTAATATTTCCGGCAGCGCGAGTGGCAGGGGAAGCGGCTGAATGTAAACGTAGCATTATACCTCGACCAGATACAGTCTAATCACTCCTCTTCATCCTAAGGTTGCCTGAAAGAAATCGCTATTTAGCGATAAGGCCGCCCATTGTTACCTCCATATTACAATTATCTTGTTTTTCTTTTTATATTTGATGTACATATTAATTTATGTAACTGTAATATCTTTCTGTGACAGGAACTATAAAGTGTTTTTCATTCATTCATTCATTTAAATAATTGTATTATTTTTTGTATTTTGTATTGCAGAACATTCGTCACCCAAATCACCCATTCCTACATCTGTAACATACAATGGCCGGGGTACGAAAATTGCGTACAGGTGGAGTACGCAGTGCCTTTGGTGTACGAAGACGAAAGAGAACACAGGTTGAACGCTACGGATCTGAGCGATATGTGGTTGACATACTCAACTAAGGATCCGTTCCACACCAGACTGCAGTCTTTAGGCCTATCTGTAAGTATATATCTGCCCCATTTTTCAATTCAATTCAAAAATCATTTATTCATTTAGGACATTTTAGCCGCTTATGAACGTCAAGTATTTACATTATATTTTTTTTCCCTACCGTCCAGTTCGGTATATATGTAGATCCAATTGAGAAGAACTGGCAAGAAACTCAATTGAATTACTTTTTTTTTAAATCCAGTTTATTTATATGTATTTATATAGGTGTCTATGTCTAACATTAAATGAAAATCCCGAACATGAAAAGTATTGCCATGCTCGTCATTCAAGTAATCGTTTAGTGAGTAAAAGGTCTTGCTCAGTAAATATGTTTTAAGAGATGTTTTGAATTTATTTAAGGGTAATATATCGTACCAATATATCCTTTGGTATCTTATTGTAAATTTTTATACCTATTCCCATAAAAGACCTATTGACTTTTTCTAAACGATACTTTGGGACAGCAAGTTTGTTTTTAAATCTAGTATTAATATTATGAATATTGCTGTTTTTCGGAAATAAGTCAAGATTTTTATGAACATATATGATATTTGAATGTATAAATTGAGAAGCAACGGTGAGAATATTTGCCTCTTTCAAATTCAAATTAAAAAATCATTTAATCATGAATCATTTTTGCCGCTTATCTCTCATTTGGGCCGTTGTGCGTGTAGAGCCGAGACTACTAACGTAGCCAGCCAAGCTCCTCCCAGAAGCGCTGAAAACTCCTGATGTCTTCACACTTCGCGGAGCGACCTCACCGTTCCGAGGATTTGTGTTCGTTGTGTGACCACTGCAAGCACTCCAGGATTACATGAGAGGCCGTTTCTTCGTCTTCAAAACAGCCCCGACAAAGAGGACTGTCTTGCACCAATTGTGTACAGATGTTTGTTTAAGGGACAGTGGCCTGTTATTTTTTTTTGAGGGTTGATAATGGAATGGTGCACCTACCCGCGCCAACGGTTTACGCTGGCGGGGCACCAGTGGAGGATGATAAGATGAGCATGAGGTCAGGTCAGTTAGCCCATCGTGCAAATTCACCAGGAATTTAACACGATGGTTTCCAGGAGGAACCGCGTGGAGGTTGACCAGACATGGTACATTGATAGTAATTGGGGTTATCAATCCACATTACTAACAATCCCCTTCCCCCCAGTGGCCCGTTATTGTCCCTATCATTATTGTAAGTTTTTGCCTATTTAGGTTTAATAAACGTTTTGTGAGTCGTAAGCTTGTTATTGAACATGGTATAGAAAACATATTTTTTTAATGTGGATGATCATTCTTCTTTCAGGAATTCACAACGCCGAATGACGGCACCGTGTTGCTGATGTGGCTGGTCTTCAGCGGAACTATTCTCATCACCGTTATGATGCTGGCATTCGCGCTTTGGAAGTTCAGCTGCTTCGATAGCTATACCAGGTACGTTTTTTTATACCACGATCCTGGCACACAAGCAGGCTCATCTGATGAATGGTTTCCGTAGCCTATAGACTACACCGCTTTACTTCCTATAGTCGCGGGTTCGATTTCTCGCACGGTGCAAACATTTTGTATTCATGAGTATGATTATTTGTATTGGTCTGGGAGTTTCTACGTATATTATGTATCTATTTACAAAAAATATCTAAGTATTTATATCAGTCGTCTAGTACTCATAACACAAGCTCTGCTTGCCATGGAACTAGATGGAGCTGTGTTAAAACAGTAGTAACAAATCTGCTGTGAGCAGTATACTGCTCAAACCTACAGACGCCATCCTCAACCACCACTGGTCGACGTCAAACCTAGCGTCGATGACGGCATCACACAATCGACCAATGAGAAGCACCGCTCATCACGCGACACATATGAGCACCAATAAAGAGGGTGGATACTCCACCCCTATGTAATTCAAAAACGTTAAGTTGTTGCAATAAACGCTTCATGAGAAGAGGTCACAGTTTCATTTACACTCTTCCTTATCAAAAAACAAATTAACAGCTGTTTTAATTTTCCAGGGTTATTTAGTTACTTAATTATTTTATTTTATTGTACAGAATCACATGTACAAAAGGCGAGCTTAATATCTCATGGCATTCTCTACTAGATATAAATCGTTGTAGAGCAATAATGTCGAAAAACTATGAACTACAAAAAAAATAAACTAGATTTTTAAATGAAATATGTGTAATATTCCAGAATGCAGACTTTCAGCGATACTGACAGTCTGCATAATGAGAAGCGGAACCTGGACATGTATCCTACTCCGCATCAGACCCTGCCGCCACTGTTCTCCGAAAGCAACTACAAATGGCACGACAACAACTATGAGGACACCGCAAGAGGTAGAACTCGCTTGTGATCATCATCATCATTTCAGCCCGGACGTCCACTGCTGAACAAAGGCCTATCCCAAAAATCTCCACGACGGTCAGTCCTCGCAACCATGCTCACCGCACCCAACGCTTTCCAGCGATCTTGACCAGATCGTCGATCCACCTTGTCGGAGACCTTCCCACGCTGCGTCTTCCGGTCCGTGGTCGCTACAAGACGACTTTACTGCCCTTTACGATCCTCTGTTCTACGAGCTGCCCTGCCCTGCCCATTGCCACTTTAGTTTCGCAATTCTTCGGGCTATGTCGGTTACTCTGGTTCTTCTACGGATCTCCGCATTTCTGACATGATCATGCAGAAAAACTCGAAGCAGAGTTCTCTCTATTGGACTCTGAGTGACTTTGATTTTGCTTATTTATGAGGCCCATAGTTAGGGACACATCTCTGTGCCGTAAGGGCGGATCCAGCTTTGGCGCCACGAGGGGGTGACATAGTCGTGGTCAAGTCAAGAATTTATAACTTAATTTTGATAACAATAGATACAAGTTAAAAGTAGGTATATTATTATTGTACGTAAATACTGTACTTAAAAATATTTATTCTTTATTGTACACTTGAATAACTTAACACAGAATAACTTGTCCATATACACGTACATATTGCCATCTTCTCTTGAAGACATCCAGAGAAGCACTATTGAAATATAATTAATAAAATATTGAAGGTATGTAGTTTCATACAATCTGTATGGTGACAAAATATATAAATAAAATCATTATGTTCAATTAGTGGTCCACCTAAGTCCTGGAACAAGCTTAGGGTTGGGGGGGGGGGGTCATGACCCCCATGCCCCCCCCCCCCCCATGACCCCCCTGGATCAGCCGTCGATTGGAACTGGCTTGTATTACAATTTTTTATAGTATAGGCGACAAACTTGTGCCTCGCATGATGGTAAGTGATTACCGTCGCCGATGAGCACCATTGTTGTTAAAACCAACCAGTTACCACTTACTATCACAACCGATCAGGATTTTTGTCAGTCCTGTGATATAAAAAAATATCATTGATTATACTATATGCGCTGTAGTATATAGTGTGGGTGACAGTTGCCTGTATTTGTAGACTTGAACATTCTGTCTGGGTTAAATTTAAGTTAAACAGATATTACGAATGTGGTTGTTTAGTGGTTGTTTAGTAGAAGGTAGGACCTTCTCTCTTTATGTAAATACTCTCTGTTAACACCGGGTTGTCTGTAAGAGATTGCTGATAGCGATAAGACCGCCTTTTGTAAAACATTTATTTTCATTGTTTTGTACTTATTGTCCTATGTTTATGTATGCGCAATGAAGAGTTATTATTATTATTATTATTGAAATACTAAGTCATAATTTGTAAATTGCGGCAACTTTCAAGAGTTAAACTGAACTATTTTGCGCATCATGCTACAGCGTACATGGTACAGGTAATTTTTTTTTAATTAAAAAAAAATCATTGATTACTCTATGGTTTCATGATTTCAGTGGACATGGGAGGCTTCACGAATGCCAATTACGTGAGGGATGACCTCTCCGAGTCTGATGAGGAAATCGTTGTGTCACGTGAGACGTTGCAAGATAAGTAAGTTTAATTCTTTTCGCAAATCAATATAGTAATACACAGCCTCGATGGTCTAGCGGGTTAGCACACAGTTCTACATCCAATGGTCGCGGGTTCGATTCCTCGCACGCACACATGTATTCATGAGTATGATTATTTGTATCGGTCTGGATGTTTCTAAATATGTATTTACGAAAAAATATATATCTATGTATTTGTATCAGTTACACAGTTATCACTAAAGCTTGTGTTATGGGTACTAGATGTACCCATAACACAAGCTTTAGCTAGCTCAACATGTGTTGAGATGTCGATGTGTGTAATATCGTAATAGGCGGCCTCAGTGATCTAGCGGTTTAACACACTACTTTACTTCCAATGGTCGCGGGTTCAATTCCTCGCACGGCACAAACGATTGTATACATGAGTATGATTGTTTGTATCGGACTGTTTTTTTTCTGTGTATAATTATGTATGACTGATTTAATTTATTATTCATACACCTATTTATTAAAAAATTAAAAAAATATAATTGTGGAAAACATTTATTTAAAAGAGCAACATGCCAGTTTCTTGTTCATTCCATTCTTCTCTTGATGAGTCTGCGTTCCAAATGAGTGATAGATTAAAAAATACGACAATTCAAAAGTACTTATATTAAGTTTATTTATATATATTTATTTATATATATTTATTTATTATTATGATGATATATTCAATCTTTTTGAATAGTCATATTTTTTATTCTACCACTCATTCGGTTATTCGGAATGCAGACTCGTCACAAGAAGAATGAGCAAGAAACTTGTGTGTTGTTCTTTTGAATAGATGCTTTTTTAAAATAAATAATTGCACAATCACAAAGAAAGAGGCATATTATAACTTAATTCAGTTTTATCACGTTTTATTAACACAATTGCATTTTTTTTTTCAGGAACCACAACTCTTCAGCACCTAAAGACATGACCAACGTGTGATAACTCGAAGAAGTTACAATTACAAAAATATGAATATTCATATTAATTCTATAAAAGTCAGCCATTTTAATTATGTACCTGTAACACTGAATCGAAATATCAACAAATTTTTCGGTTCATTGGTTATTTTCGACGGGTTAAATACTTTTTTTTTTAACTGTAATAATTGAGATTCTTGCCTATTTATTAAATATTAAAAAAAAAATCGGTTCATTGACTATTTTTAGCGGTTTAAAAACTTCTTTCTTCTTTTGAAAAACGGTTTCAATTGAATTTCTTGCTTATTTATTAAATATCAAAAATTTTTCGGTTATTTGATTATTTTCAACGGTTAAAAACTTTTTTTTTGTAAAAAAGTTTTAATCGAGTTTCTTGCTTTATTTATTTTAAATCTGACCATTTAAAGTGCTTATAATTAAATTTATTTCACTATACATACATTATTATCATTTATATTAAATTATTTAGGTTTTTTTTCTTTAGATTTTCATATTAATTTATCAAATCGATAAATCAAATATCGAAACACCAGATTTTAAGTCTTAAATATTAATAGACTAGTGAATTAGAATAAGTCTCTAAATTGCATATAAATGTTTTAGATATATAAAATCTTTAACATACAATTAGTATAAATGTAAAAGGTTGTTTATTTTTTAATTTCTTTGTAATATTAAAGTGTTCATACAGTCAGCCAAATTAATTAGGATCCCATAAAATAATAATTAATATAAAATTAATAATTCGGTGCAGTAGTTATATAAATTATATTATACGATCATATATATGTAATATAAAAAAAAATACGACCTCGGCGGTGTAGCGGTTAATCACACCGCTTCGCTTCCGATGGTCGCGGGTTCTATTCCTCGCACGGCGCAAACGTTTTGTATTCATGAGTATGATTGTTTGTATCGGTCGGTGTTTTCTGTGTATATTATGTATGTATTCACAAAAAAAATGTAAGTATTTATATCAGTTGTCTATAACCCATAAAACAAGCTCAGCTTACCGTGGGACTAGATGGCGTTGTGTTAATTGTCCAGGATTATTTATTTATTATTTATTAAATAATGTATACTTTCAACATGAACTTCCAAATATTACTTTTTGTTTATTTTGAATAATTAAACTTAAAATTCAATCGGCTTTATAAAAATATTAACATCTATGAAGCTATTAAACATCACGCTATGTCTCTTATGAGCCGAGTATAAAAAAAATAGAAGCAATAACGAAGGATGAAAAATGATATATATATATATATATATATATATTATAGGTATACAAACATAGGCTACAATATACTAAAGGGTGAATTAAAATATAAATTAACTTCTTAATTGATAAAAAACAAAGAAACGTACAAATCACTTATAATTATTGCAATGTTCCCTTTCATTCAAATAAGGAAATTAATCCGAAAGAGTAGGACAGAATAGTTCAATTTATAAGGGTCTACGTACTGTCTGCTGGAGAAATATTGCAGTGTTAATTTGTTTTAATTGAAATAATAAAAAAAAGAATGTATTTTACAATGTTTTTAATAATGACGCCACGGAATGTTCTAGAAGTGAAAAATACAAAGTTAAACAAAACAACATCGATGTTCCATGCGTGACGAATTTTATAATTTCAATATATTGAATTTTAATAATACGGAATGTTAGAATATATTGTCCAAATTTAAATTTTATAATTTAGAATATATTCTACACTGATTTTAATAATGACGCCACGGAATGTTCTAGAAGTGAAAAATGTATACAAAGTTAAACAAAACAACATCGATGTTCCATACGTGACGTTCCAAATTTAAATTTTATAATTTAGGATATATTCTAATCTAGATTTTAATAATGACTCCACGGAATGTTCGAGAAGAAGTGAAAAATGTATACAAAGTTAAATAAAACAACATCGATGTTCCATGCGTGACGTTCCAAATTTGAATTTTATAATTTAGAATATATTATACACTGATTTTAATAATGACGCCACGGAATGTTCGAGAAGAAGTGAAATATGTTAAACAAAACAAAATTGATGTTCCATGCGAGACGTCCTTTAAATTTTACGTGATTTAAATTTTATTTTTAAATATATTAAATGGCTATTTGCGATCGCAAACACGTATATTTCCGTTGCGTGACGGATGGCCCGTGCGATTTCCAAAGAGCTAATGCACATCGGCTAATCAAACGTTGTCATGAGCATGAGCTGCACGGATCTGACGATGTGAGTCCAGGTTAATTAACATTAAATAAACTGAATTTTTGATTATATAAAACTATACTATCCTTAATAAAAAAAACTATTTTGAAATGATAATTCGTAGAAATGGTATAAACAAAATAAACATGAATTTTGAGTCAATAAGTAAATTTTATCGAATTCTCTAGAAACAATTCATAAGCTACATACAATAACGAGTCACGTGATCAATGTAGGTTTTTAAAGTTGGAAATTTTATTCAATATTAGACTTTGTGTTTCATTTAAATGGTTCACTTTTCTATACCTAACTTTCGACTTAGTGTGCAGTAACTTTTACGACTAAATATTGTGACAATGTATACCTGTATTTCAATTTCAATGTAAGGTACAAAATAACATAATTTTCTTTTTTTTTATCGTTCACGCAAGAACATACAATAAAGCTGAGTGGAGTCATTTCAGTGCCTATATGTAAAAAAATATATCTTATGTTTATTTTTAATTTACTACATGTTATGTAAATTAAGTTTAATTATATATATACTTTTAAGTTTGATTTTGTTTATATTGTTACACTGTTGAAAAGCACTGAATAAATATTTTTCTTTCTTCTTTTCTTCTTCTTTCAAGTACTGTTTAAAGTATTTTTATTTAAACAAAAAAAAAACTTCTAATTTTATGATATTAATATATTAATTAGAGAGCAATCAAATGTTGTGATTGTATTAAGACTTTCATTGTAAATTGTTTCTTATTTATACGTTTTTTTTTATAATTATGGTTTTAATAAACACTTAATTTTTTATTTTTATTTTATTTTGTCAGTAAGAATACCGTACACTACCAGACAGAGTTGGGGAATATTTAATCGAATTAGGTGTTATTTTGCGGAAGTACATTTCACTACTTAATGGATTTATATTATTTTGTTTAATTCCGCTACAATTAGCATGTGTGAGACCACAAATATTGAGTGTGGAAACTTGAGTACCGTTACGACCTTCTCTAATGGCCATCAAATTCCGACCGTTACTGAGTCTACCCCTATTGCGACACGTGTTTCGCCTCTGAACGAGGCATCATCAGGCGTTGAATAGACTTCGGATGATCTACTTTGATTACTACTTTTTTTTTACTACTTCTATTCTATTCTAGATCGACTTGTAAGCCTAGTGTTGACTCTTCGCTGCGACTGTACAACCTCCGGAGTCGCGGTTTGGTCGCTGAAGAGTTAACAAAATAATATAAATCCAGTAAAATTATCCGTGCCTCAAATGTGTGGAGAATGCTTTTATTAGCGCAGTTCTTGAAAATTGAAAGGTATTGTTGGCACGGGTCGTCTGACTAAACCTGATAATCTAGGAATCTAATTTATAAGTGAGGCCTTTAGGAGAGTAAAGAGCAAGGCAAGTCTCACCCAATCTAACGTGAGTAAGAGAACTCCTTCTCTTCCAAAAAGTTCTCCATTTCTCTTGGGAAAAACATTGTAAATGATTGCGATAAATTTGAGTTGCAAATCTCACCTAACGTGAGAAAGAGAGCTCCCGCTCTTCCAAAAATTTCTCTTCTCTCTGTAAAAAGCATTATAAATGATTGCGAGAAATTTGAGAGCCAAATCGCACCTAACGTGAGGAAGAGAGCTCCCTCTCTTGCAAAAAGTTCTCTTCTCTCGGGAAAACATTCTAAATTATTGCGAGAAAATTGTGTTTAATTAAACATATTTCTCTACTAAAATATGGGTAAATGGTAACACTAGTCCCTCAAATGTTTAGTCGCCATCTGTTGGTATCGTCAGGTCTGATGTGGGTCATTCCCTTTACATGTTTGGACTGAATCTAACAGGGTGGCATCCATTTTACGTAAGGCGTTTATGGGGAAGGGGTAGAGTGGAGTCATCTAAGCTTAGAGAGAGAGGGGTTCGTGGTAAAAATGAAGTAACTTTTTCGCAAGATATCTGGAAAACTTGAATAAAGTAAAACATGTCTGCTAAAAGAAGTGTGAACATTGTTTTAATCTTTGATGCTTACAATTGTATATATCGTCGGTTAAATAGAAAAATGGCAGTATTCAAAATGTACATTTTTGTCTTGTCCTGTAGGCAAGAATTTAAAGTTTTTTAATTTATTTAAATTATTGTTCCCTTTAAAGTTTTAAATTTACACAAAAGTATTATATAGCATTCTAAAAGTATTTAGATAATGATTAAGACTGTGTTGTTAATTTAATTAGCTTATATAAAAGGAGGCAATTCTAGCTTCTAATTTTGAAAAATGACATTTTTCTACGTAATCGGCGAAATTATGTCATAAATATAATATCGTATTTTTAGTAATACTCACTTACTTAAAGTAGAGGTAGATTCCAGAGTTTGAAAGAGACTTTGCGACATGACCGCGGTTTGTTTCTTCTTTCTTTTCTTCTACGTATCTACTAAATTTGATGCAAAGTATTATAAATAAATAATAAAAGAATATTATCATGTTTAATGTCCCATTTAGGTATGGTCATAATGTTATGTATATTAAACGCTAGTAATTCAATAGTCTCTCATTTGATTTACGCCAAAAGGTCAGCCAAACGCGAAGAATCTAATGTGAGATTAAGGAAGAAGGGAAGTAACAACCAAATCTTATGACATTTCACCAAAAAGGGTCGAAAACATCCTCGTCGATTACGAGGTACCTAATGAACATCCCATAAAGTGAGCACAGGTTGAAACTATAAAAATTCGGACTTGGGGTTGTATTTACAGAGTTTAAAACCTGGTTGTGAAGTTACGAAACATATGTACAACATATATTTATGTTAAAAAATTTTACATTTAAATCTTACATTTACACCTCGTCCTTAATGAATAGAACTACTATTTACATCCAAATGTTTATTATTAAGTTTTATTTATTAAATATTATATACAAATTTGCACATATAATGTCAATAACTATTGTAGCAATATCATTCCTGAAAATGCTTATAAAAGTTTAAAACTATTTCTTCTTATTATACTACTATATTTGTCTGGGCATGCTTATTAAGAATAGAAAATTGTATATATTTTATCGAGTAAGGTGTTATTTTTAACTAAGACTTAGTTACCTATAATGTTGCTTCCGTCATTTGACGGTAAATAAAAGGATGGCGTTCCTTTTGTGTTCCATAACAGTGTCCTTCAGTAATTATTATAAAATAATACAATTACCGTTTGTTGTTA